CTTTTTGAAAGAGTTTATCAAGAATGATGCTGTGGTTGTTTACGTCAAAAGCTTTGTGAGTATCTAAAGCTGTTAAAAAGAGAATTTACTTCATCCTTTTTGCATTTATATGTGCCTCATATATCAGTAAAGCAGCCATGGTGGGGGGAGACCAGAGGTAAAACCAAACTGTTGTGATGATACATTTGAGATTGGATCTATATTTTTTCTAGAAGTGCATGTTCAAATAGTTTTCTTAGATCAGAGGAAACTGTTATACCACAATAGCTATCCAATATTCTGCCGTCTTTCACCTTTTTACAGACTGGTGTTATTATGCCAGATTTAAATTGTTCTGGGGGTTTTTCTATCAACTAATATTTGATTAAAAAGTTTCTGGATATATGGGATGATTACTTCATTAGCTAATTTCAAATGTTCGGCAAATAGGCCATATTCATCTCCAGCTTTTCCTGAATTAAGATATTGAATAGATTGATTAATTTCTTCCTCTGTGAAAATAATTTTAGTTTCAAGATTATTTTCCGAGAGTTCCTTAATTATATTACAACGAAGCTGGCACATATGGAGATATTCCTCATTAATTTTTTTGTCATTTTTTGGCGTGGCTAGATTTTTATAATATTCGCTTTTTATAAGTTGAAAGAAGGTTTTTGATGAAGGTTTCTGTTCTAGTTGACTGTAAAAAGTTTCCCTTTCCATGGCTCTTTCCTTCCGGATCATTTTCCTGGCATTATATTTAGCTTCCTTAAGTTGTTTGTAGGAGTCGTCTGAGCCTTTTTTCCGACCAGCAATATCCCAGATCCTATGTTTTTGTTTGCTAATGTTTAGTAAATTTTTGGTTTCAGCTGAGACCTTCAGCTTGGGGCCATTCGGCATAATGATCCTAGAGGTATAGCAATTTTTTTGCCTTTTTTTTAGACAGTATATTAAATTTCGAACCAGTTCAGTAGAGGTCAAATCCGGTGATTGGTTTTCTTGAAGAATTTCTTTTAATTTTGCTTTATACTTATTTAAGTCTGCCCTATCCCATTCAATTTTAAACTTTTTCCCTGAGACTGAACTTTTTTAAATGTTATTAGATTGTGATTTTGCTGCCAGAACGCCAAAAACTTGGACATGAGATGATATAGATTGTTTCCACAGGTGTTTTTCTATAACAACTTTATCTAGTATATCCAAATCTTGTGTCAGTATATAATCAATTTGAGATGATGATAACCCGTTGTGGTGGATGAAAGTATCGTTATTCAAATGATTGCCTTTATTTATCCATTTACCATTGAGTTAGGAAGGTTCTTAAAAGTTTATCATGGGAGTTTTTTCCTGATGGTTTTAGAGTTCCGTTCAAGTCACCACAGAGAATATGAGTGAGATCTGAATATTTTCCGGTTATATGTGACACCATGTCTAGATGCTCTCTATAGCCTGTCTTAAGTTTAGAATGAGGTATATTTATGTCAAGAGTAGATAAGAGTTTTTTTTGCACTTTAACGATTTAATTTTAAACCAGCAAAATTTTACACTGAATAAAGAACAAAATACATAACGAAGGTTACCTAGTTGAGTATGAGGAATAATTTTATCAAGAAGTCAAATGTTTTAATACATTGAATTGTATAAGAAGGGGAATTAAATTTGATTGTGTGTATTCTAAGAGACCTTTCCATGTTTTAGAGTCAACATCTTCGAACACCTCTACAGAAAAAAAGCAAACATTGTAACACATGTGTAAGTAGTATTGACAATTTTTTGTATTAAAATTTCTTAATAGAGTGTCTAACATACGCGAATTTCCTTTGGTGATCATATTTTCTCCATTAACAAATTGAAGTTATGCACTCTGTATACAACGTTAAAACATAATCTTATCAGAGAGAAAATTTCTAGTTTATAAAAGACCTTTGTATAAATCTGGATGTAACCATGTCTGCCGATAGTTTGTTCCCGTTGCAATTCTCTTTTAAGTAAAAACTTACTCCAAAAATACACAGGTAAAGGGGGGGGGGGGGGGGGGGGGGTTGGCGCCTTCGAACTTTTTTAACCCCGCCACATTCTGTCCCAAGTCAGAGCCTGTAATTCAGTGGTTGTCGTTTGTTGCTGTGTAACATATTTGTTTTTCGTTCATCATTTAGTACATTAATTAGGCCGTTAGTTTTCTCGTTTGAATTGTTTTACATTTGTCATTTCGGGGCCTTTATAGCTGACTATGCGGCATGGGCTTTGGTCATTGTTGAAGGCCATACGGTGACCTATAGTTGTTAATTTCTGTGTCATTTGGTCTCTTGTGGAGAGTTTTCTCATTGGCAATCATACCACATCTTCTTATTTTTATAATTGGGCAGTTAAAAAAAACATTTTAAGTCAATAGTTTTTCACTTGATAATATGTTCGTTTTTAACTTAAAAAGTGGTAGTTTTTTTCTATGAGAACTTGGTGTTATTTAATATATTAATACCAGAATTTATTATAACCTTCCCTATTCGAGTCCAAATCATACACGTAAATTTACCATTACACTTGCAGGAGGCAGTTCACACCTAATATTTTTATTGTTATATATTGTTGTGAAGCAAACATGTTTAGGAAGTGTCCCTAAAATCGTTCTGTTTAACTCAATAGACTTGTATACATGTAGGTTATAATTATACATCCGTTGTTAATAAATCATTACGTTTGGTATTTTGGAAATAATGTCAACTTGCTTAATTATAATTTGAAGCAAAAATCAAAATCTTACTTGGAATATATTTGTTCATATTTGCTTTGGACATCGTACAAGCTCGTGTTGTCTGTACTTTTCATGATATTGCACTACTAGTATTTCTGTTGCCATGACGTTACAAATCTAACACGATTTCATACAAACATTTCCCTCTGTGATTTTTATAATGTTGCTGCTTGAAAACAATTTAGAAATCTATTGTGAGGGGCTACATGATTTCTTTTTCAACAGTTTCAGTACTTCGAGATTTATTCAGTAAATTGAAGCTTGTTGAATTTGCATAGTTTCATTTGTACATGTGTTGTTTTTTTGTGTGTGCATAATACCAATGTTATAGGGTAAAGTGCGTTTTTACCTGATTTTTATATCAATTTTTAAGTACCTGTTGTTCAATTGATCAATATCAAACAGGGAGAGTTTAGTGCATAAGAAATAGCAGGACTCCTCCACTAATGTATTTGCCAGTCCAAAGTCAAGAACTTCGATAGTGTTTGTGTTAGCCCTTGTCCTCTATGACATTTGGTGTTGACAGCAGATCATAGATTTGTTTACAGCCTATAGGTTGTGTCAGATTAAAATGCGTTTTTTTGCGTCAAGTTAAATTTTCAAAACCTCGCAGCCAGCAAGGAACTCCCCTATAAGAAAAATAAATAAAAAACAAAATATTAACACACCAATAAAAAACTAAATGTTATTAAAAATGTGTATAGCAAACTACATTGTTTTTGATTTTGAATAAATTAATGATTTACGACAAACGTATGACTAAAGTTCCCTTAAAAATCCTTTTTATTTATGTTTTAAAATATTCTATGAAATTTTTTGGTTGTTTTAACTAATTTGGCGGACGCAAAAGAAAGAAAGCACAACTTTCGCCAGACTTTAGCCTTGGCGATTTAGACATGATATTTAGTACTTTGTACTTTGGCTAGGCTTTGGCGATTTAGACGTTGATATTTTGTATCTTACATTGGTGATTAGACGATGATATTTTGTACTTTGACTTTGGCAATATTTTGTACTTTGACGATGGCGATATTTTGTACTTTGACTTTGGCGATTTAGACGTTGATATTTTGTACTTTATCTTGGTGATTTAGACGATGTTAGTTTGTACTTTGACGTTGTTCTTTGATAATGGCGATATTTTTGCGATTTAGACGTTGATGTTTTGTACTTAGACTTTGGCAACTTAGACACTAGATATTTTGTACAGACACTTTTCGATTGTTGGAAGACCGTTACTGTTTTGACATCTAGATGTTTTTTTTTTTTTTATTTTGTTGTTTTTGTTTTATTTAGTTTTTTGCTGTTGTTTTTTTTTTTTTTTTTTTGGGGGGGGGGGGGTATATCGTTTTCCGTCCCTCCGTCCTGCATGCATATGTCGAGCAATATATAAATATGTATTCAGGTATTTTCTTCTAATGTTACCAAATAATTGATAATGGGAATCTGAGCGTCTTTGAATTTTATCATTTTCGGACAATTTTCATCTTTTGTTGTTCAAGACGTATGGAACTTTAATCTTCGTAATATATGCGATTTTTTTTTACATATCGCGCACTAACTCAAGTACACTTCGAGTGATTAACTTAATAAAACTAAAACGAATGGTGGTGTGATTGTGTGGGTTAAGTTAAGTAAAGTTTGCTCACACATGTGCATGTTTATATATAGATATATGTCATTCTAAATACCAATTTTCTCTTTAACTATTACATGTAGTATTATGAGAAATAATGTTCATTCAAAAGTTCATTCATTCATTCATTCGTTACGTTTTGTTTGTAAATTTACAGTTTATAAAATGATATAATAGTTTAAACACCTTCTGGTTAGGTTTAAAAGGTTAAAACAGCAAAGTTGTCAAATCATATCAATATTAAAGATAGAATTAGAATATGTGCACTAAAAAGATGCAGAATAACATTTAATTTCTTTTAAAAATGTTTGAAACTGAAATAAAGTGTTTGTTAAATACAGTTTCCCTTTAATCTTATTTTCTGAACTTAACTGGGCACAATATTGAAAAAATAATTGATATTTCTTTCTAAAGAAAATCAAAACTTTTTTAATGCATTTGCGTTGCCATGACATTGCAAATAGATAACATAGTATCTTCTTAACATGTCCCTCTTTTTACCGGCGTAAAATTCCTTATCGCTGCATTAAAATAGTTATTTTCACCTGTAAAAGTTCTTATCTGAAATATATCATTAATATATGCACACTCAAATTAAACATGTATAGCTATTTAGGGTAGGCGCCAGTTTTTACTTAGTGTAAGGATCATGAAGACCATAGTGTAGATTCAATGGACAAATCGAACGCCAGATTTCCACGTGACCTGTCTTTTTACACCTGAACCTGTAATGGTTGATTGATTTCACGTTAATATGGATTAAAGTAAAGTAAGGTAAGGGTTAATAAATTATGTACAGTGTATACCTTTCAACTTCCTTTACCAATATTTCAGAATTTATATAATATACTATCAAAAAATACCTTACATTTTCATCTCTAAGAATTTCCAATGGTTTATCTTTTTTAAACCTTGGCCGCGCTACGCCATTTCTTTCTAAACCTTTTGTCATACTTGTATTGAATTATGAGATCATTTTTAAAAACACATTTAATTTAAATTCAGAGGAGAATAACAAATGTACCAAAATCTGAAAGTATTTTCTGAAGAATTTTCTTGTCTTTGGTTTTGTCTCTTATGTTACAAGTACTTTATTTTAACTGAAGAATTCGTGTTTAGTTCCGGGGTATCATGTTTCGGTTAGACCATTTATTGTGTTTTCTTGTTTGAAAATTAGCATACGGCATCTGAAAACAGCCGAGAAAACTTGTGTTTGAATTTAAAAAGAAATAATCACGTAGAATAGCGTTTAGAATGACATTTCGAAATTTAATAGAATATGACTCAAAACAAATTTTAAAGATAGAATGATTCACATTATAGAAACGCATTATCTAATTATTTTTGGAAAACCCGTACACTATGTGGTATACTGTTAATGGGTACTGTAGTTGATATACTGTCAAAACATTTGACTTCAAGTTAATTCATTTTTTAAATATTTGCATTTATGGAAGTTTAAAGCTGCATTGATTTTCTCTAAATAAGGAGTATACACAAAAACCGGAAATAATGGTTCATTGATCTTTGCTTTTGTGTAAGCCTTTTTGGCAACGCAGAGAATATATTAATCTGGATTCAAGTTTGAAAATATTTTGATTTACTTTTCACAACAATACAACGTTGTAATGTAGCTTACTGAAATTCAAAAACAGATTAAATCTAGTTATAAACATGAATACACATTTAAAGTATATATGGTAATGGCGCTCACTTATGTAGCATCACGCTTCATACATATCTCCTTCCAACCGTTAATTTGACCTATATATCTCAGAGAAATTATAAAATATCGAAATTTTAAACTGGCTGTTCTGTGTTAATATAATTATATTGTTGTCAATGTGTTTTTGTGGAGTGTGATTTTTCTAGTTCTTTTCGCTGGTCATTGACTTGCGATTTCGAGTAACAGACATGTTTCTACCCTTGTTTGGAGATTTGGGAATGGTAAATAACTTTTTTCTTGAGTTTTTTTTCAGGATTTGTATCATCCATTGCCCAATTCGAACGTCTGCTGTACTAAAAGGTTTAAAATGAAACTTTTATCATTGAAAGCAGATCGAAATAAATATATTTTGTAAATTGAAAACCTGTACTTGTCTGATATTTACTTTTGACGTGTATTTCAGTATCGATAAAAATCTAGTCTTATCCCCGAAACAAATCGCGTTGAAATTGCCCCGAATGTTCAATGAAATATTTTACAATCGGCTATACCCACCATTATTTGTATACTATAAATTGTAAATATTGATTTTGATTGTTTAGATAAATTTGGAGTAGATTTTCATGATCAAATCCAACACAATTAGCTTATTGAAAACATCAGCTGTCTATTCTAATTTCTTCATATAAATACGTAAAGATTGGTTAAATGCGATTTAGAAAATAAAAGGAAACATTTTTGTGTTCGGTTATTACGTCATGTTAAATGTCAAAATATTTATAAGGTGAAAGCTTTTAATCCACCCTATATCCAAGATTTAGAAGCTGAACTTATAAGGACAAATATTCATATTAATAAACTGTAAACACTGTAAAAAACTGAAATGGGTATTTTTCCGACGACGACTATTTGTTCGGGGCTTTTTGTTTAAGATAGGTACAAGAAATGTTTATATGATAAGTTTCCAAAATTATTCACCTTTCTTGGTTTAGAAGTTGTTTACACACAAACATTTATTTATTTATTTATATATATATATATATTGATTTGTCTCCTCCATATTTATATTGATTGATGACTATAAAGATGGATACCTAAGGCAGATGAGAAAACTGTACCTGCGCAGGAAAACTGTTATTTTCTACCTTGAATTTTCTTTTAAATTCAAATTTTATTTGTATCACGGTTAGCTCAAGGTAACATTGTGTATCATTTTGATCGGTATGGTAAACACGTGGAAAATTTTCAGCGTTGTCACAGTTGCACTACACCTTATTAGAAAAATGTCCAAGTCGTAAAATAGTAAAATACATGTATGAAAGAATGTTGAATTCACAACATATCAAATGGTCTAATATAAAAAAAAAACTTTTTATTCCATGCAATGACATTTCGAAAACCTAGACATAGCAGACAAAACAATTCCTCATCACAAGCAGATATCTGATAAAAAAAAACCTTAGCATGTTTCAACCGTAACAATAAAGGAGATTCTAACAAAAAAGACAAAGTAGAAAACTATACTTATTGCAAATTCGACGTTTATAAACAGACTCTCAATAGAACTAGGGAGTTGGAATAACGACGTAAAAATGAAAATCATCTTTAAAATTTTGACAACACTGGAGACAAATTTCATGATTATCTAGAATGTCCGTTTTTGACGACAGTTTTAAAGTTTTAAAAAAAATAAGGAGCCAGTTAAACAAAAAGTCATCGCTGAAAATATCATTTAAGTTCAAAAAGTGTGTAAACAAACACGTGGATCGGCCATGAAATAAAAGTTCCTTCATAATATTACGGTTCCAAATGGAAGAAATATTTTAGAATATTATTTCCACTGGAACTAATAGTACAATATTTGTTCCTAACGGAGTAACGGGTACAGAATATTTGTTCCAATAGGAACAGATATTATAGCATTATTTATAGCAAAGTTTTCAGGGGAACTTCTGTTAGGCGATATACAAATATAGGTTGACTGGCTAAAATGTATATTGCTTTGATCCACTGAATCGCATATAAATGTTTGTAAATATATGCATATTTCTGAACATATTTTGTACATTCTCTCTGTACATATTTATCTTCAAAGGTTATGAGAATAGAGATATTGTATTGTATAAACGCTTTAATTTATGTCTGTTTAAGGACAAGGCAATTAAATATAACGTGTTGGAAATGTTTTGTATGACCCGTTTTGTTTCTCCATCAGATACTATTCACCGAGCACAACAAGGGGCTTGTTTTAAAAAATATATACAAGCAGCAGACAAGATAGCAAACCTTAGTCTAAGAATGACAGCTAGCTTGTTAGCACGACCATTCATTTGAATAAAAAATGTATTAAAGATATACACATATGAATCCAAACTTTGTTCAATTTAGACTTCAGTACCATATTTATAAATATTAACAGTTTAGTTGAGTGAATGATAACGATAGAATCTAAAAGATCATGTGTGTATTACTCGGAGATGAATGAATTAGTTTTCAAATGTTACAGCAGCCTTGCTCAAGGGTGATGTTACAGATTAAAACGGAGATAACAGTCATTTCAAAATTAATTCTGAGCTGGAGTATTTCATATATTTTCACAACTTAATTTATAAATCTTGGTAGTACCCCAATTAATCCCTCCGAGATTGTTGTAGAGATTTGGCAAATTATGTGCAGGGGTGGGTCCGGGATTTTTTTTTTTATAATTCAATAAAACTGAAGAAACAAATTTTGGATGATTTTTGGCAAAAAATTATATATTTACAGATCAAGAGGGGTGTATGTCCTATATGCCCCCTCTGAATCCGCCACTGATGTGAAACCAAACACGTGAAGTCGAAATTATCATTGTATTTATAATACACACACAACCAAAAGCGTTAACCTTTGCTTAAAATTTTAAACATTCCAGACTCTTTAATTATAATCCTTGTCTCCCTCCAATACTATAGGGTTAATATTATGAGATAATGTCTTCTTTTTCATTTCTGGTTGGATCATTTTTATACGGATGGGCTAAAATCAGGAACATCGCGTATTCTTGAAAAAAGAAAAAAAAAACCATTGCAAAAATAATATTTACAGAAACATTTAAATGAATAAACCAGAATTAAGCATCACAAAATCAGCAAGTGGTAAATCAAAATTGATCAAACTGGATAGAACAAGTTAAATGCACCACAGAATTAAGAAAATATAACATTTACACATGTTTACTCAATTTAATAAATTAGTTTTATCAAAACATTGCGTTTTAATCATTAGTTTAAACGTATATATGTTATTGTGGTAAATATATAGTGAAAACAACAGGATTCAAAGTAAACGCATCATAAATAAATATGTTTTAAATTGAAAAAAAAAATCAATTAAATGACTTACTCGAACTTTAATAAGTATTTCTCCTAAAACTTAAGTACCTACAGCAACACCGCAATGTAAGCAAAGTAATGGTTCTGCTGTCAATGTTCAACTGTAATGACGCAATTGTTGATAACATTTTGAAACACAAATTGACAAGGTCTGCCTGGTCAAGAATATTTATAATGCCGTCAGTTAAATGGTGTTGTGAAACAGTATAGTTTCAGGATATTGCATAAAAGTAATTTTGATACCTTTTGTCCATAAGGTAATGATTAGATTTGATTAACATTAGCAAAGGTATCATTTGCTATATTTATGCAGATAATTCATTAACAAAGGGAATAGTAACTTCCATAATGCTGCCATCGACGCCTGCTCGTCTCACTGAGTTACTCTAGGTTGTGAGTTCTACAAAACCAGGTTTAATCCACCATTTTCTACATAAGGAAATGCCTGTACCAAGTCAGGAATATGACAGTTGCTTTCCATTAGTTTGATATGTTTGAGCTATTGATTTCAACATTTGATAAAGGACTTTCCGTTTTGAATTCTCCTTGGAGTTCGGTATTTTTGTTCTTTCACTTTCTACATATCTTCGTCTAGATGGAAGAAAACAAATTTAAAATGCTCTTGCTGATTCTCTGCTTAACCAGCAAATTTAAGGAAATGTGTCTAAACTAGAAAGTAAAAAATATATTTCGGCGTGAATATATGGTATAAACTGCATATGGACGGCGACATAAAT